TATTCTCTGCAAGATTTTCAATAGTTTTGTATCAATAAAATCCCTCCTCGATCTAGCTATTCACATACTCTATATAAAAAGAAGTTCCTCATGCAAAGCAAAAGGTAACTAAAATTCATTTTTCTATTTTCACGACATAACTAGAAAGAATAATGGTAGCACGTTGAGTGTACTTGGCCGTAATCCAGCATTTCACCAGTATCGTGAGATGGCAATCGTCGGTAATTACATCTGTTGGTTAAATTTGACGAGTATAATGTCATGGTCCTGCATTACTCACATTAATTTAATTTGAAGCTTTGCTTGGTGTCATTTGTAATATTTACTATAGTTTCTTTATTTTCTCTTTAAGGATAAAGACGTGTTTTGATTGCACGTACAAATTGCAAACTTTCTTGGATAAGACATGTTTACGCGGTATTGAATAATAAAAATAGTTGTATAGCCAGTGAACTGTTTTTGGTTTACAATTAATTAAAAACCTACAATAAACTATGTACGGGCAGTTATAATGAAAACAAAAGGTCGATAAAACAAAATAATAGCGTAATGATCTGAAAGTGAAAGCTGGCATTAAAAGCATGGAGGCAACTAACTAAATAATTTTTAAGCGATCAGTGAACAAATAAGCGGAGCTAGAAGGTTACCGTTCGGCAGAATCAGTAGCTTTAATTTAGATTTTTATAATTTTTTTAATAAAAAGTATTAAATTTAGAATTTAGTTATTAACACTTATATATTGTATTTTAGAATTTAAAATCTAGAAAGTTTAAATTTTTACTATGCCTTTATATATTTGTGATAGAGATATAATGTAGTAGATTATTTTTATGATAAGCAATAAGATAAAATTAGGAATGAGTATATCTGAGATTAGGTGAGGAGTCCGGCATCAAAACCGACACTTTTTGAACCTTAAACACCAAAAGGGACCTTCTCTGAAAACACACACCAAAACGGACAGTTCGCCCATTTTTGGGTGAATTATAACTAACATCCCTTAACTCCGTCATCCCCATTAACTCCCAATTCATCCAAAATAATATTACACTGCCCACAAATGGGAGAACTACTAATCTTCAGCATGTGAATTTATATCCGTAATGTCATTCTTAAGATCAACAGAGAATAGTCTACGATGGATGTCCTCAATCTGATAGTGAAATTGACCAGATTTAGTGGCAATACATTCAATAATTTTAACCTTATTTTTCTCTAGCTTCAATATGATCTTTGGACAGATCGATTCTCTGACAATACTTTATCATTTTATCTTTGTTCTTTTGAAGTTTGGACATCAAGTAGATCCTAATTGATTCAATCATTGTCCAAATATACTTGTCTCATGTAGAAGTACACTACTGAATGACTCACATTGATTATTTAATAACACATCACACTTCAAAAAGGAAGAGAAAAACCCCCTGGCCAGTGAATGGAGGCTTATTAATGAACCATTTAGGGGATTTTGAATCTAAGTTTCCCATTTCTTCCATATGCTTATAAAATTCAACTTCTCTAGTTGCTCTGGCAGCTTTCCATATGACATCTTTCAATACTTGCCCTCCAAAACCTTCAGTCTTGAAATTGTTGTGCAGGTGTCTCAAACAAAATTTGTGTGTAACATGTGGCATTGTATCATCAAATGCTGGAATTAAGCCTTTTTGCTTATCAGAAATGAAAGTCCAAACAAAATAATTTTGTGAAATGCCTAGATCCTCGTCAAGAAGTGTAAAAAACCAACTCCATAACCTTTCATTATTGCGAATGCAATAGGATACATGTTTGTTGTTTCCATCAATGCCTATTGTTGTCGGTAGTCCACCCCCCCCCCCCACCCTGTGGTTCCCTTTCAAATGGCATCCATCAATTCCTATTATGGGTTGACATCCGGCTAAAACCCCTTGTTTACAAGCTGCAATACACACATAGTCTTAAAAATCTCGTTCTACCACCATTGACCATTGTTTTAGAATTTTCGTCCAACTTTAAAATACATGTAGTTCTTGGATTACTCCTCCTCAGCTCAGCACAATAATCCCACAACATCTCAAATTGCTCTTTCTTAGTCCCTGTAATTAGATTTAATGTCTTCCTCTTTGTCATATAAGCTTGATTTCGTAAAATGGTACAATTATAAGTTCTCATCACATGAGCTTGAAATTCTTTCACACCCCAATTTGGATTAATTCTAAACTCTTACACATACTTCTTAGCTAAAAATTTAGAGTCAATAGTCTTGTTACCTGTTTAATTGCCACAGGAATGGTTAGGACCTATTGTCTTGATCATGAATGACTCATCTTGATTACCCTTTGATGCGAATATGAACCATATGCAGCTTGACACCTTACAAGTTACCCTAGACCTCGTACTTTCATTCTTTTTAAATATGATATCCATTTTTTGGATCACAACATGTACCTCAACTGCCCATTTGAATTTTTTGCTATAACTGAAAATCATATGAAGTGCAAACATAAATTTTGAATCCTTCAAATCCTTAGTTGGTTGAAAACAATGGATCTTTTCATCGTCAAAATCTCCATGTAAACAAACTCATCAATTCCTCATCTGATGTAGCAAAGTCATCTTCTTGAGTGTCACTGGGAAATATAGCCAACATATTTGAGGTAACTCCATGCTCAACATTTTTTCCTTTGACTTGATTATCTCTACTTTTTCCAGTAACACCAACCCACTCTAGGGTAGAATTGATGGATTTATCAAAAATAATGTCAGCTTCTTCTAAGGAATAATCAGAATCACGAAATGACTCACATTCTTCAGTTGTCAAATCATTCTCATCGCTTTTGTCGATTACATCCACATCTACCAAGCCTTCTTTATCATGTAGTACTGGGCCACCCTCGTAATCAGCCACATCATAGTTCCATTGATCCTCATTTGTGTGGTCGACAAATATCACCATCTCTTTATTTTCAGGAATTTCATAATTTTTTTTATATATATCTAAATCAATTGATAAAAGTCTTATACATGTCTCAAAATAAGGTCCAAACTTAAACCAAAATTTTACTTTTCTATCATTGACTTTCAACTTTTTCATACACTGCCTAATCTGAGTGATATAATTTTCTTCTCCCTTGCAATAGTCATAATAAGCTATCTGTTCACTAACATAGTTCATCTCTGGTTCAAACACCCACCGACTCTTATATTGTAGTTTAATGGTGTACATATCTGAATCTCCACCATTTGCCATGAGAGAAGAAAAAGTAGGAGCTATTAGAATTGTTATAATAAATAGAACCAACAAAAAAAAATAATATAAATTATCGTACAAATCCAAATTAGTTTTGAATTTGAATTATGTTGGTTTCAGTTCTTGAAAAATTGAGTTATATGTATGAGATTTTAGAACTATCCAGTTTAATTGTCTGAACAATCCCTGAGTCTTCACTTTTATCTATTGTTAGGAAAAAAATGCTTATGTCATTTTAACAAGTAGACCCAACATGAAAACATATCTATTTTGTAATTATGATGTGCCCTCCCGCCTTGATCTTTTGGTCAACTTTATGCATAAATATAACACTTCTATTCTCTGCTATCAGTATGAAGACACTAGTGATGGCAGAAGCTAGAGTGTTGTATTCCATGAATCGGAAGCTAGGAAAGTTAATAAGTACTCGTTCCAAGCTTACGTGAATCCAATAGCTTTTGTGTTATGAACAAGCTCCAGCCCAATGTCACACAACCAGTTATTTATTGGGCGGAGAAGAAGCAATAGAACTGGAATGCAATTCACAAATGTTGATTTGGGACCCAAGTCCAATTAATGATAGGTTAAAAGGGGCTACCGCTTAGAAAAAGTATTCATCTTTTGATTAAACACCTGAATTATATTGGGTGCTTTACTAATTGTATATTGTTGAAAATATGATATTTTGACGCATGACGAAGATTGTAAAATTATTTCCGTATCACAATTATTGAGGATAAATCTAGTTGAAATCAAGAACATATCCAGTGTAGTCCATACGGTGGAATCTAAAGAGGGTATAGTGTACACAAGTTTTACCTCTACCTCAGAGTTGAGATATACTAATATTATCATCCATAAAAACTATATTAATAAATGAGAAAGGGTAAAAAACAGAGGAAGGAAAGCAAAGAAAAGTAAGAACATGGAGTGTTAGGCCGTGAATTTTTTGCATTTTTTTCGAAGTTCAACTCCAGAAAACACGTTTGATCATAAAACTTCAAGTTGAATTTCAAAATTTCCGAGAATTTGAAAAATAGCAAAAAGTTGTTTTCACTTCAATAGTAGAGACCAGGGGCTTCAACATGACTCAATGTCTCAATCAATTGGAGAGAAATTCCAAAAGCAAACATATACTTTTACTTTTATTCTACATTTCTTTGACTGCCCTATGGAATCAGATTTTTTGAAATGTTATCTAATCAAACACTACCACTTTAATAATGCTGTCATTTTGACCCCACTACTTTTTTAGTTTTCATTGTCATAAAACAAATTCTCCATCATTGCTCTGTTTGTTAAGCTTTCATTTAATAGGAAACTAGCCAATATATATATATATATATATAGCAGAGTTCAGACTTGAGAGTAGAGAAAAGGTTGATTAATAAACTATACTAGCAACTGAACTGGTAACAAAGGAGATTTCCTTACACATAACATGATTCAGAGAATTCAAAAAGCAAACATTACACTTTTCCTTTTATTTCTACTTTTCTGTGTCCCATTTTGAAATGTTGTCTAATAAACACTCCCACTTTAATAATACTCTCATTTTGACCCCACTACTATTATTCCTGCTTGCATTCTCATATACCAAAAGAACGAGTACTTACTATTCCACCAAAAATTTTGCTGATAGCACCTCCTCTTCAATTATCAACTTTCAACTTCCTCTCTTGTATTCATTCACTCTCAACTTATTTTCATTCTACTTTTAATTTGCTTCCTTGTAACTAAGAAATCTAGTGAAGAATAAATTAATTAATCAGATATGGAATTCTTATCTATTTTTGTGGAAAAGGTAACGGACTGCTTGATGCAGCCAGTTGCGCGAGGGATTGGGTATTTAGTTTACTACAAGAGCAATATCAGATGTATGGATAAAGAATGTGAGAAGCTGAATAATATCAAAAGTGAGGTGCAGGAAAGAGAGGAAGTTGCCCGGAGAAACTTACAACGCATTTCACACAATGGCGAAGCTTGGTTAACTAGTGTTGATACCACTACTGAACATGTGGAAGTTGTAAGGCAAGGTACAGCTGAGGTTGAAAGGGGTTGCTGCTATGGTTGGTGTCCAAACTTGAAGTCACGTTACTCGCTGAGCAGTAGGGCTAAGAAAATCACACTGGAGTTGATTCAACTTCAAACTGAAGGCACCAATCCAAATGCTTTCTCCTTTGATCGTCAAGTTCAAAGTGAGGCTATACCTAGTGACAGTGGTGAGGTGTTTGACTCTAGAAAATTGCAAGAGGATGAGGTCATGGCAGCTTTGAAAGATGACGGAGTCACTATGATTGGGATATGTGGTATGGGTGGTGTTGGTAAGACAACACTGGCTGTCAAAATCAGACTAAAGGCGAAACAAGAAAGGATGTTCAATGATGTTGTCATGGTAATTGTCAGTCAACAACCAGACCCTAAAAGAATTCAGGGTGAGATCGCAAGAGGAGTCGGACTGACATTAGAAGGGGATGATATGTTGAGTCGTGGAGATCGGCTGCGTACAAGGTTAATGGATCAGAACAGCCCCATCCTTATAATCATGGATGATGTTTGGAAGGCTCTTGATATAAAGAGACTTGGAATTCCAAGTGGAAGCAACCACAAACATCAGTGCAAAGTGATATTCACAACGCGTTTCCGATCTGTTTGTGAAGCAATGGGAGCTCAGAAGATCATGGAAGTTGGAATGTTATCTGAAGAGGAAGCTTGGACCCTTTTCAAGCAGAAAGTTGGTAATTTTGTCGACAATCCTTCTCTACTTGGCATTGCAAAAAAGGTTGCCAAAGAATGCAAGGGGCTGCCACTTGCAATTATTACAGTTGCAGGAGCACTAAAAAAGTTTAAAACCAAGCCTTCGTGGGATTGTGCCCTTGAACAATTACGAAGTGCAGAAACAAGAACTATTCCTGAAGTGCCCACAGAGTTGTATAAACCTCTAAGGCTAAGCTATGATTTCTTGGAAAGTAATGAAGCAAAGAACCTCTTTTTGCTATGTTCCTTGTTCGAGGAAGATAGTGATATCTGTCCTGAAGAATTACTAAGATGCGGAAGGGGGCTTTGCATCTTTTCAGAAATCGGAAATTTAGAACATGCAAGAAATACGGTCAGTCTTCTGTTAGAAACATTGAAAGATTGTTTCTTGTTAGCCCAAGGTTCAGACAAAAACTATGTCAAAATGCATGATGTGGTCCGTGATGTGGCTATAAGTATTGCGTTTGAGGGAGAGCATAAATTTATGGTAAGTCATCATGTTAACTCGGAAGAGTTCCCAAGAAGAACTTCTTATGAGCATTTCACTCACATGTCAATAGTTGCAAATAAATTTGATGAGCATCCTAGACCAATATTTTACCCAAAACTGATGCTTTTAATGTTGAAATTCCGGGTTGAAGATTCATTCAAATTACAGGACGATTTTTTTGATGGAATGGATAAACTCAATGTCTTAAGCCTGAGTGGATATAGTCTGTACTCCATTCTGCCTTTGCCAGCATCCATTCAGAGGTTGTCAAGTTTGAGGACGTTGTGTCTGAGTAATCTAAGGTATCCTGACATATCCATTATTGGGGAACTTGTCACTTTAGAAATTCTCAGCATAAGAAATTCTCAGTTAGAGGAGGTGCCAGTGGAGATTGGAAAATTAACCAATCTAATTATGTTGGAGTTGCAGAATGAATTTAATACAATTGAAAGGATTTCAGCAGGTGTCTTATCAAGGCTAGTTCAATTGGAGGAACTACATATGTTTGTAGTAGAATGTTGTAGTTACTCCACCTTGAGTGAACTGGAATCCTTATCGAGATTGACCACACTGAGATTTGGTAAATGTGCCGAAGATGTTATCTACAGTAACTTGAGCCTTTCCTCCAACTTGACACGGTACAATCTTACAGTGAGTCCCATGTGGACTTCAGCCATGGATGATTACGACAGGAGTATTACTTTAGAGGTCACGAAGACCAGGCCATTGGGTAATTGGATCTGCCACCTGTTGAAGGAGAGCGAATTCATATATTCAACCGGAAATGGCTCTAATAATGTGTTGACTGAGTTGCAACTGAATAAACTTCAGAACGTGAAATGTCTCCACCTCGATAGTTGTGATTTAGTGACGCATTTATTGAAGATCTCTGGGAGGAGACATGAAATAATCAAGTTCCCCAATTTATATGAGTTGGAGCTTGAATATCTGAAATGCCTGACTCACTTTTGCAGTGACACTATTGAGGCTATTGAGTTCCCTCAGTTACGGAAAATGATCTTCGAGGAGTTACCTAAGTTCAAAAATTTCTGGCCTACAGCCAACAACTCCGTCAATAACTCAAATCCTCTTTTTCATGAAAAGGTTTGCTTCTTATCATGAAACCAGCTTACTTTTTCAGTTGTTATTCAAGGGCTAATTTAAGTTTTTAAATATTTCTCTTATATAGATCTATTTGTTTTTCATTATTTGAATTTCTTGATGTTATTTCATTTTTGTAGTGTGAAAATATATAGATATGGAAAAAGAATAAAAAAATAAGAACAAATTTAAGACTAATGACCTCCTCAAGTTTACTTTGGGGTCCTATGGGTTGAGCTCAAATGGGTTATAAATCGGGTTGTGTTATGACCCACCCAATTTAACCAGTTTAATCTCAATAACTTTAACATATTGTTATTTAACTTTTATAACCTCAATTTGAAATGTATTAAGGCTTGAATGAATTGAGTTTGAACTCAATCCAAATTATCTTGAGTCCAACCTATTAAATAATGGACGGATTAGACGGGTTACCCAGCTCCAAGTTTGATACTTGAACGTTTGCAGGTTTCTTGTCTCAACCTGAAAGTGCTAGACATCGATAGTTCTAACATAAGTGCTCTATGCCCTCACCAACTTCCAACTGCCTACTTCAGCAAACTTGAAACATTGAAAGTAAATAATTGTAGAAAATTGAGAAACTTGATGTCTCCATCAGTGACCAGAGGTGCTCGGAATTTACGAATACTATTGATAGAAAATTGTGTGTCAATGGAAGAAGTGATCACAGAAGAGGAACAACAAGGAGAAGAAATCATGACTAACGAGCCCTTATTTCCCCTGTTGGAAAAGTTGCAGCTTGAAGGACTGCCTAAGCTGGGGCATTTCTTTCTGACAAAGCGTGCTCTTGAATTTCCATTTCTCAGAAAAGTGAAGATTGATGACTGCCCTGAAATGAAGACGTTTGTCCAACAGGGAGTATCTGTGAGTACACCGAGTCTTGAATGGGTGAACTACGATGACAGGGTGGAAGTAGATGATCTGAATGAATGGATACAACAGAGGTTCAATTCTAAGGTTTGTCTTGCGCCACTAATTGTATAACCAATTAACTCTAGTGCTCTCTTTCTGTCTTAACTTAATAGTAATAGTAATATTCAGATACTTATTTATGTTTGTCAATTGAACCAACTTCCTTGTACAGTATTTTCAATTGGAAATCTGAAGCATCACTATTCTCTGCTCCCAGGAACAAAATACTAGTGAAGGCACTACCGACAGCAACGAATCTGAAGCTACTGTTGGCGACAAATCTGAAGCTAATGATGGCGACAAATCTGAAGCTGCTGATGACTCGGAAGGGTGAACCATGATTTTGGGGTGATGGCAGAAGCTACTGATGTCTATGAATCCAAAGATAGCTAGGAATAGTCCATGTTAGTTCAAACATGACCTAATACCTATACTGTTGTTTGTTGATTTTTGAAAGAAGGAGCGGATCTTGAAGAAGCAGCATGAGCCTAAAGTAGTAGCCTATTACGTTTTGTCATGCCCCTTTGATATCTTATTAATCAAGCCCTAGCACCCCTGTAGGTAAGATCCTCATGATGGACATAACAAGCAGAGGCATATGGATATTATAATGCATGGATTCACGTGAGCCCAACTGTTTTTGCCAAGAGACTTTGTATTTGTATCAGTAATTTCCTTAATTACATATTCGGATTGATTTTGATTCAACAACAATTTTATAACATGTTATTAAAGTAGAAGAGAAGTCCTAGTTCTGACACTCTTCTTTATGAGTAATTACTTCTTACTTGTGTCTGTAGAAATTCTTTAATAGTTTCAAATTTTTTCTGCAAGTTTGGACAAACGCAGAAAGAAGCAATTCATAAATTATTGTCTTGGACCAAAGTTATTTGGAGAAAAAAAATAATGAAAAGACTGTTTTGAGATGTGAACTTTAGACTAAAAGTGAAGTCTTCGTTTAAAATTCCTCTTTGATTTGGGTAATCATTAGTTGCCTACAATTATTATTTGACTGATCAAATTAAAGTAACTTGTAACAAAATCTAACTATATCGTGTACTAATTGTCAGTAAAATACAGAGATAATGTAAGACTTGTTTTCATTGCCAGTGTATACAAGTTAAATTCTTATTTGAAGTGTCACTCAGACGTGAGATTCTATCATTTCCTTCAATTTGTGAGTTCTCTTATACTAGAATTTGTTGGCTTTTGTGTGTGTGAATAATTTGCACAAGATGCATAAACACAAGTGCCAATAGTAGAAACTAAACCGCCACAAAACAACATAGTTGTTGATCAAAACAAGGACATAAAGTGACTCTGATGACAGAGGAGAAGGGTAACACAAGGCCCCAACGCAATAATAATCTGGCTTTGGTTCCTCATAAAAATACTCATATTGGAAGTTCAAAAGTTTCTACTTTTTGAATATGAGAGTATTTCAATACACACAAGACTAAGTTGCCAAACCACTATTTCGAAGGTAAAGGACAGCTTAGCATGTCAATGTAATCAAAACGTTATACATACTGCAAAAATAAGCACAAAGAAGCTACTGTATATTTTTTTCAATTCTCAAACTATCCTAACTAAGAGCTCACGCAGAGTATAGCACATTAAAATGGTTAGCCCTGCTTAAACAAGAAAGTATGCATTATAGCTTGATATTAACAAGTTCAACGTTTACGGGGATACTTATCTTGTGATTTCGTCACAGAAAACAATGAGTTTAGCAAATTAAGAACAGTAATATTGCCCTAATTCACTTTGTACAATTTGAAATATGGAAATAGAAGAATTTGTATTTCACTATATTCAACAGTACATGTATATATACAATTACTAAAGATTCTATCAAAGGTAAATAAATATCTTACACATCTTTTTAATGATTTAGCTAGCTATGTAAGGCAAGAGATTATATTTATAATCTACAATATTCTGTAACACTCCCCTCAAGCTGAAGCATAGATATTGCATTACATAGATAGTTACCTCTTGCTCCATTCAGCGCCTTTATGAACAAATCAGCTAGTTGCTCACCAGTCTTCACATAGCCGGTGGAAATCAAGTTTTCTTGAATCTTCTCCCGAATGAAATGACAAACAACCTCAATATGTTTGGTTCTTTCATAATACACCGGATTTGAGGCAATATGAAAAGCAGCTTGATTATCACACCAAAGTTTTGATGGTGTATGATGTTTCAATGTAATTTCAGCTAAAAGATGATGTATCCACATAATCTCACATGTAGATTGTAACATAGTTTTGTACTCAAATTCAGCACTGGATCGAAATACGACATTTTGCTTTTGCTCCTCCATGATATTAGGTTTCCTCCAACGAAGACACAATAGCTTGTAGTATATGTCCTATCAATTTTGGATCCAGCCCAATCAACATCTGCAAAACACTCAACATGAGTATGTCCATGATTATTATACAATAAGCCAAGTCCAGAGCTTCTTTCAACTAACATAGAATTTGTTCCAAAGTTGCCCAATGTTTGACCATAGGTGCGGACATAAATTGGCTAACAATACTTACAACAAATGGAATATCCGGACGAGTCACAATGAGGTGGTTTAACTTCCCAACTATCCTCTTATATCTCTCTAGATCATCCAAAAGGATCACCATCATCTTTTGTAAGATGTACTTTAGGAATCATTGGGGTATTGCTGGGTTTGGCTTCTAACTTTTAAGTTTCTGCAAGTAGGTCAAGAATATACTTTCTTTGAGATAGAAGAACTTCATTCTTGCTTCGATTTACTTGTACTCCTAGAAAGTATTTTAACTGACCCAAGTCCTTCGTATGAAATCTAGTATGCAGGAAAGACTTGAGGGATGAGATATGTGTATAATCACTTCATGTGATGACAATGTCATCAACATATACAACAAAGAGGATAATGCCAGTTGTTGATTGTTGATAGAAGACTGAGTGATCACATTTATTCATTTTCAAACCAAATTCTTGAACCACCTCACTAAACTTTCCAAACTAAGCCCGAGGGCTCTATTTCAAGCCAACAAAAACTTCTTCAAGTGACAAACTTTCTCTGAGCAACAAAACCGGATGGGTTGCCCATATACACTTCCTCCTCTTGAAAATCATCATGAAGGAATGCATTCTTGATATCCAATTGATGTAAAGGTCAATTCTCGGAAACAGCTAGAGAAATAAACAAGCGGACAGAAGTGAGTTTGGCAACCGGAGAGAAGGTGTCTAAATAATCCACCCCATAAGTCTGCGCATACCCTTTAGCCACAAGACATATATTTCCTCAAGCATGGCATGAAACCATCCAGGATGACTTCTCACTCTCTCTTTAGGTCAAACTTTCCTTTGAAAATATGTTTATAAATTATGTGTAAATGTTGGAATTTTTTCTTTTTTAAAAAAATCAAATTCAAAATAATCATATTTCAAAATTGACTTAACGCAGGCCGGATAGCGCAACCGCGCCACGCACGACCAATTTTCCAGTCACAAAAACGGTTGGTCACTTTGGCTTGTTTCTATCCCTTGGGGCTTCTTTCTCCTTTCTTTGAATTCATTTTTGCCTGAATCTCTTCATCTTCGCATTATTATATTATTATATTATAAAAATATAGTATTAAGATAAATTAATATAATAAATATTTAAAATAATTAAAATATTATATTGCAAAATAAGGAATGAAAAATCTATTTATTTTTGGCCTAATATCATCTACCAAACACACCCTTGAGTGCTTTTTTTTTGGCGAAATGGTCTAATGGACCCCTATACTTGTCCGAGTTTGTATTATGGACCCTTCTACTTAATCATTTACCAATTGAGCCCTTAAACTCAATAAAACACAATATATCAAATCCCTCTGACCATTGACCAAGCTTATGTGGCATTAAGATGGCTGGGTTGGCGAGAGAGTGTGGCTACACGCATCTGAAGGCAAGTGAACATCATATTTAAACTTAAAATATAATAATAATAATAATAATAATAATAATAATAATAATAAATAATTTAAAAAGATCCCTCTTCTTCCCTCAACTCCACCCAATTTTTCGTTGTCATCCCCATCCCTGCCCCCAACTACTTTTTCTTTCTTCTTCACACCTATGGTCATCTTGATCTTATCAGATATTTGGCATTGGGACCTCCTTGACGTCAAGTTTCAAGTTGTTATCAGTGGAGGGAGAGAGGGCATTGGTTGATTTTATGGCAATGCTCGCTGGAGTCCAGAGAGAGAAAGAGAAAGGCAAAACTGATACCTTTTCGCTAGAACGGGAGGCGACGAGGGTTTTTGTTGATAGACGGAGAGCACGGAGAGGAGAGGTTGTCGTTGATGATTCGCAGGGGGGTCACCGGTGGTGTGGCGGCTTAGGGTTGTTGATTTTGTGGTGGTTGTAGAAGGAGGAAAGAAAATAGTGAGGGTTTGCGATGGAGATGGAGACGATGAAGGAGAAAGTACAGGTCTCGCCGGCGAGAGGAGCGGTGGTGCGGCGACATTCGCCGGTGGATTTTGGATGTTACGCGGTTGCAACCGGAGTGGAGGCGTGGAGTCCCAATTTTTTCTTAAATAATCAATTTAAAATTTATTAATTTACCTTTTATTTAATAATTGTCCAAAAAGAAATTATTATAAAAAATAAAAAATGATGTGGCAAAATTTATCTTACATGGAATGTGACATCAGCGCGATTGAGAGTCACGATGAGTTGAAAGGGTTCAACATGTTGAGTTTAAATGAATTCAGGGGTTCAGATGACAAAGGGATAAGTAGAAGGATTCACAATACAAACGAGTACAAGTACAAGGGTTCACCAGACCATTTAGCCTTTTTTTTTTAAAGAATATGTCTTTGTGTGAATGTGAGTTGTATTTTTATTAAAAATTAGAAGTGCACTAATTTAAGAAGCAAATTAACCATTTTTCTAGAAAACTCAAAGATTTCTAGAAACATAAAATGTTATTACGTAGTGGGAACTGGGAATGATGATCAACAAGACCTGAGGGTACCAACACAATGTTAATAAGCCAGCTGAATGGAATATGTTGAGATTTATGCGCAGTTTTAATGATTGACAAAGAAAGATAAAACATGTTAGTTAACATGATCCAAAGGTATATTACCACGAGCTATTAAATTCGGGAATGTTTTCAAAACAAATTAAAACAAGAATGCAAAAATCAAAATATGGATAATATTAATTTCGTGATACAACACAAGGAAATAAACATCTGATAAATTCAAGAGAAAGAATCAATGAGTTTGATTTGAAGAGGGAGTTTAAGGAGGCAACGAGTTTTAATTGAACTCTAAGTCAAGAGAATTCAAGTCA